GCGGCCGGGCGGGCGTGGCGAGTGTGCAAGGGGAGCGTGCAAAGGGAGCGTGCAAGGGGGGCGTGCAAGGGGAGCGTGCAAGGGGAGTGTGCAAGCCACGAGCACCCCAGGCCGTGCCCGAAGGCTCGGAGAACAGCTCTGAGCACACAGCCCCAGGCTGGGAGCGCAGCCCGCGCCGAGCCGAGGGAGAGCGAAGGGTTTGCGGGGGGAGCCCCGCGGTGCGCCCCGGGGGGAGCCCGGAGCCCGGCCCAGCGTGCAGGCTGCGGGATGGGTTGGAGTCCCAGCTCATGGATGGAGGCCCGTGCCCAGCGTGCGAGCTGGCTCAGAGGGCACAAGGCCAAGCCGTGCCAGCTGGGGTGCAGATCAGCCCCTGTGCTGCGTGGCTCTGGCCAAACAGAGTGTGTGCTCCCCAAACAGCACCCTGGCCCTAATTTGAAGGCTTCCTCCTTTTCTGGGAGCAGTTTTGAGGGTGTCAGGGTCCTGGTGAGGTTCTGGGGGTGCCTCCCTGCCCACAGTGTGGGAGAACACAGTGCAAGCCATCCATAGAAATAGGCACTGCAGGCAGGAGAGTGATGGGCAGGGAGGGGAGGGATGCTCACTGCAGCCTTCTGCCCAATGCATCCTGACATCCTGCTAGCCCCGAGGTCCATAACCCTCCTCTGTTTTCTTTTATCTCACCAGGACAAGAAACTGCGGATCTTTGACCCTCGAGCAGGCCCAGCTGCCTCCCAGGTACTGTCCCTTCTGGATGTGCTACAGGCAGCCCTGCCCAACCTTTTGTCTGCAGGGGTTTGTCCCCCAAACCATCCCAGCCCCGGCTGGGCTTGAGAGATGCAAGGAGCTGAGGGCAGGGGGAATAGAACTCTTCCCTTAACTCTGGAGGGGTTTGGCAGGGGGGGCCCTGCCCTCCCACCAGGCCAGGGAGCACAGCACAGTGGCACATGCCAGGTGAGCCCTGTGGTGTGAGGACTCTGGGCTCCTGGGCTCTGCAGGCTCCTGGGCTCTGCTCTGCCCTCTGGGAGCCAGACCAAAGGCTCTTGGGGACGAGGGCAAGGGCTGGGCGGTCAGATCCGCACAACTCAGCAAATAACAGTGATTAGGAAATAAGTAGAGAATTTAAGCCTTGACGTCAAGTTCAAACAGCCTCTTATTAGAGGTTTCCTGTGGCTTGGGGCTCTGGCTGCAGAAGGGGCTGGAAGCCCTTGGGAAGGGAGGGATGCAGTGGAGAGCAGGGTGAGCTGGCTGCAGTGGACTCTGGATTCGTGGTGGATCTCCTGCTGCCTGTGGGCTCAGGAAGCCAATGGCCTCTGGTGACAATGCTCAGGCACAGCAGTAACCCAGGCACTGATGGAAGGGACCTGGAGCTCCAGTGCTGCACCAGGACTTTCCACCTGCTCCTGAACATAACCCAGGTGCTGAGCTCCCCAAAAGCCCCTGCGTGCTTCCTGCAGTACAAATGATGCCCTGACCCTTCAGGCAGCCTTATAAACACCCCACCACAAAAAACAAACACAAACCCAGTGGTGACACGTGCGGACAAGCCAGGGCAAAGTGCTCCCAGCACTCCAGCAGCTGCCACGATCCTGTCCTGCTCCAGTTGCCACTCAGCATGGCTGGAAGATCCCATTCTCTACTCCAAAATTTATCCACCACCGGCCTCAGTGCTCCCCTCCCCTCCTGGCCCCCCTTCTCCCCCTGCCAGACCTGTCTGATGGCGGAGCTGTGAGTGTGATGGGCTCGAGCCAAGTCTCTTGGGGAGGGTGGACTCTGTCTCGCTGAGCTATTAAAAATAACGTGTGAATGATGGTGGCTGTTCAAAGCAGGCAGTTCACTTCCCTCCACTGCTGTCTGATCCAGCCCGGGGCCGGCGCTCCGTGTTTGCCAAGAGAAATATGCACCTTCACTGCTGCGGCCCTGCCCCGGCCGGCTCGCAATGGATGGAGATGTTTAGTCTTGGAGAAGTGCTCTGCTGAAGGGGAAAACTTTAAAGTGCCATAAATCCTCTGGAAGTTTGCGCAGGGCTTGCTTAGCCAAGAGGAATAACACTCCTGGGTTTTGTTCTTTTCTTTTTTCCCCATTGCTGGAGGGCTGGGTTAGTTGGAAAGTCTCCTTCTCCCCCCAGGCCAGCACGGTTACAGAACCGGGTGATGCCGGGGCCGCAGTGCGGTGCCAGCACCTCGCAGGCTCCTGGCTTTGATGTTGCCTGTTTTTTTGCAGAGGTGAGCTGCAGGATGGGTTTCCCAGCTGTGCTGGCCCCTGCAGCACCGTGGGCTGGGTTTCCTCACAACCAGCACAGGGTCCCGCTGCCGGCTCACCCTGGTCCCTCCGTGGAGCTGAGAGCCAGCCCCAGGCTGCTCCTCCGGCTGGATTTCTTAATTTGCCAAGCCTGCCTCATTAAACATTCCTTTGTTTAGAGCAGGGGAAAAGAATGAGAAGGAGCTAAAATAAGAAGCTCAGGGAGGAGGGGTCACTCCTCCTAGTACCTGCTGCTGCTCTCAGGTGCCATGGATGTGGCACACATGGGGCTGGGGACCGAGGTGGGTGACAAGGAGAGTGACTGGCAGGCTGCCCACACCCCGTAGCCATGTCCCCACCAGGGCCTGACCCCCCATTCCCGGCTACGCCCGTGGCAGCTATTTTGAGCATATCCCAGCAGCGGGCAGACGTGTGTGACGCAGCGTGGCTGGGGTCTGGCTGACCCCGTGGGGTGCCTGGTATGTACCCAGGGCCATGATTTCCCTTGGGAGAGCAGTGGCCTCATCCTGCTGGATCCCCATCCCTTTGTTGCAGCCCCTTTGTGAGCATCAGGGCCCTATGGCTGCTCTCTGTGCCCTAAACTGGCAGTGGAGATGGCAGGGCTGTCCTGGGTCCTGCCTTGCCACCCCGTGCAGCCACGCTCCCGCTGCTGGCTGGGTCCAGGTCCAAGCACCACTGTCGTTCCAAAGAATTCAGTGAGTTCTGTGCTCTTGCCTTATCCCCTCCCAAGGCCGCGCTGCCCTGGCCTGTCCTCCCCTCCCACAGGCTGGTGGTCGCCCTCCTCGCCTTGACCCTCCCCCTGGAAGCGATTCACATCCTCTCCCTTGCGGCTTCGGCCCTGCCGAGGCTCAGTGTCGCAGTTCCTTTCCTCACCCTCCTGCAATCCCCGTGCAAACCGCACCAAAGGTCCCTCCCGTGTCCCCCGGGTCCTGCCCTTGGTGGGACAGGGGACACAAGGCTGAGCAGAAAGCTTGAGCAGCGGGAAGCTCCATGACTATGCCATGCCCAGCTCATGCCTCAGGTGCGTCCCCAGCACAGTGGAGGGCAGTGATTCGCATATGCCGTGGGCTATTAAGGTGGCATCTCTGCTTGCCCACTGCTCTGGGCACCTTCCCCTGGGTACAGAGCCCACGGGCCGCATCCTCCTCCACACATGGAGCTGTGCAGGTTGGTGCGAGGGGCTGTGTGTGCATCTGGCCAGCACCTGGCTCCCGGGACAGGCCTGGGACAGGCACCCTCCGTGTTGAGCTGCGGGGCAGCCGCTGAGCGCGGCCAGTGTGGGCTGGAGAGGAGCCGGCTCCGTTCTCACGAGAAACTTCCTCCGCCGGCGTTCGGGCAGGGCCGGGGGCGAGGGAACGGCCGCGCACCGGGGCAGCGCACGCCCCGCTCACGTCCTAATGAGCTGTGCTAATGAGCGGGGCCGGGGCTGAGGGCGCCCGGGGACAGCTGGGAGAGTGTCCCTGGGGGTTTGTCCCCGCCGGGGGTTTGTCCCCCCAGCTCGTGGGCTGTGCCGGGGGCAGAGCTCAGTGATGGGCAGCAGCCGATGCTCACAGCCCAAGCACAGCCGGTGCTGTCCCAGCCCTGCTCAAGGTCTGGGGGGAAAGAGGGACTCCAGCCCCTGTCCCAAACCACAGCCACCATCCTGTGGACCACATAGGCTGTGCCACAATGGGAGATACACCATGGAGAGGGTCCCTGGGGGCAGTGTGGCCATGGTGCAGGGTGATGCTGTGGAGAGCCAGGTTTGGGGTGATCTGGCTGTGCCCACAGCCAGAACTCCATGGACCCTGACATGTCACCTCTGTCCAGGATCCAGCTGTCGGCCCAGGGCCGGCTGGGGACCGCTTGTCATCATCGGGGAGGCGCATCAGGACATAGAGAGACTACAGCCTTCCTCCCACTGCCCCATCATCACGGTATCCCACGCTGGGGTCACCCCGGGGGTACCTGACTCCCAGCCTCGGCAGCAGCTTCCTCCGGGCTGGGGGAAGGTCCACAGCATCCCACATTCCCAAGGAGACCGTGGGAAGCTATGAAAAAGTTGGCCTGACTCTGGGCAACCTATTTATAGCACCGCACGCTCGGCGCTCTCATGCTTCTGTTCCCCAGCGTAGCTGCACGGGACTGTTTATATTTCCTCTGCTCCGCTTCCCCCTCGGCCGTCCTTCCCAGGAATGCCGCTTGGTATGGCAGACATGGGGAAGTCGAGGAGGATTTGGAATGAGCCAGAGGCATCTCAAGGGGTGTGGGTGTGCAGTGGCACCGGCTCGCCCTCGCCTGGGTGCCCATCCCTCCCATTGGGAATGGCCTCACCAGCTCAGGCCCACACAGGTTGGCATCTCCATGACTGGGGCTGGGGCTCCTCACGGTATTTCAGGAGGTCCAGCCTGTGCCTGACCTGGGACTCCTGGCAGGCTCCTCTCCAGAGGGCAAAGGTGTTTTGGGATTCGAGGGCGTCATAGGAGGGCTTGTGGGGCTGGTGGCTGCAGGAAGAGGGGAGAGGCAGTGGAAGAGGGCTGGGTGCTGAGGGCTGCAGCCTGCCCACCCCCCTGGCCAGTGAGTCCCCCTCTCCTGCCCAGGGAGGGAGGTCCTGTTCCCATCCCAGCCTTGTGGTGTCTGTGCCCACTGGAGCCCACCCACCCTCCTGCCCTTGCTGGCCCCACAGCATCCTCTGAGACACGGCCTTGGCCTCACCGAGGGGGCTGTGCTGGTGGGGAGGGGAGAGGCAGTGTGTGTGACTCACACACACCACACACCTGGCAGAGGGCAGGGCCAGTGCTGGCAGTGTGATGGCTACTGGAGCATCCCCGCTGCTCTGTGGGATCTCTGCACTCCCCTGGTGCAGGTGACTGCTCCTGGTCTCCTTGAGCTCTGGGCAGAGACCAGGAGCAGGGCTAGCCTGGGAGAGGCTGCTCTGTTCTCCTGGTTACCTCTGGAGTAACTGGGATTTGGCAAGGGAAAGAGATCCCTCACATTCTTGTTCAGAGAGGAGGATTCGGTGCGTGGTTAACCCTCTCAGCTCCCGGGAAGCCGTTCCTCCTGCTGCCCACAGCCTCGTGGGGCGTGCAAGGAGCAATGGCTTCCCCATGTGCAAGGACCCGGCATGGGTGTCTGTCCCCAGAGACCCCCACAGTGCCCTGGCCAGGGGAGACCCTTCCTGCCCTGGCACCCCCTGGCAAGGAGATAGCTCAGCCTGGCACTGGTGCCTCCTGTGCCCACGCAGATCCCGCTGCTGGGGTTGCTTCCCACGGGGATCACATATCCGTGGGCTGTTAGCCATGCTCATGGGCTGTTAGCCACAGGCAGGGCTGAGCTGTCCCAGCCCTGCCAGCCACGGGGGCTCTGCCAAGAGCAGAGCTTTGAACCCCCCGGCCACCTCCCAGCCCCAGGGCTCTGCCCTGGGCTCCCACCTCCGGCTCTCCCTGCCCTGCATCCGGCTCAGGGTGACGGCTCCCGGGGAGACAGGGAGCAGCCTT